CCCTTTGGCGGTCGAACGACCCTTTCACAGGGGTCGCCTAAGACCATCCTGCATATCCGATATTTACATTACGATTCATAACAGTAGCAACATTACAGTTATGAAGTAGCAACAAAAATAATTTTATGGTTGGGTCACAACATGAGGAACTGTATTTAAAGGGCCAGAAGGCTGAGAACCACTGCTAAAGTATAGAAAAGTTTATTAAAGGAATATGTAGACATTCAGTTTAATGATATATTTTGAACACCATTTTAATCCCTGTTGAGGTTATGATCTTGTCTAAGCTCTGTTATGTAAATTCCAGAAGAACTTCTGAGGTTAAAGGAGACAGACGCAGCTTTTTCTGCAATAGGAATGCATGTTTGTAGACCCTAGCATAAGATTTGGGTTTATAAATGGCTCCTTTTATTTCATAAAGCAGCTTGTGTGATGCTGTGCAATGCTAAATAAGTTTTGATTGCTGTATTTATCTTTATATATAAATGGAAATTACTTGAATATAGCATTTAAACTTGAAAATATACAGAAATGCTTATTTGGAAAGATAGCAAAATTATTCTTATAAATTCATTCAAAATAAATTGACCTTAAAAAAAATCTGAGAGAGCTCGGTTCTCATGTCTGTGGTCTGTGCATAGCTGCCTGTGGATTTTTAAACAATTTTTTAAATTGTTGACATTATTATAGATGTACTTTATCCCTCTTTCCCCAGACCCCCCCGCCCCCAACAAGACCTCATCCCACCCCAGGCCATCCTTGGGTCGTGCATGTATGCATATAAATTCTTTCGTTAATCTCTCCCCTCCTTTTACTTCTGAGATTTGTTCATCTGTTCATGTCTCCATGTCTCTGGACCTATTTTGTTCATCAGTTTATGTTGTTCATTAGATTTCACATATAAGTGAGATCATGTGATATTTGTCTTTCTCCGACGGCTTATTTCACTTAGCATAATGGTCTTCAGGTCCCTGCATACTGTCTTACAGCCACATAGTATTCCATTGTATAAAGGTAACACAGCTTTCTTATCCACTCATCTACTGATGGACATTTGGGCTGTTTGCAGATCTCAGCTATTGTAAATAATGCTGCTGTGAACATAGGGGTGCACATATTCTTTCTGATTGGTGTTTCAGGATTCCTGAAAGTCCTTGAAGAAAACATAGGCAGTAAAATCTCAGACATCTCACTGAGAATTTTTACTGATACATTTTCTTAGGGCAAGAGAAATAAAGGAAAAAAATAAATGGGACTACATCAAAATAAAAAAAATGTACACAGCAAAAGAAACCATCACCAAGATGAAAAGGAAACCCATGATATGGGAGAACATATTCACCAGTGATACATCTGACAAGGGGTTAATTTCCAAAATATACAAAGAACTCAACACATTTCTACAAAAGGAAGACAAACAGTCCAATTAAAAAAAAAAGGCAAAGAACCTAAATAGACACTTCTCCAATGAGGACATACAGATGGCCAAGGGACATGAAAAAATGCTCAATGTCACTAACCATCAGAGAGATACAAATGAAAGCCACAATGAGGTATCACCACCTCACACCCCCCAGAATGGCTACCATCAATAAGTCAACAAACAACAAGTGCTACTGAGAATATAGAGAAAAGGGAACCCTAGGACACTGCTGGTGGGAATGCAGACTGGTGCTGCCACTATGGAAAACCATATGGAGTCTCCTCTAAAAATTAAAAATGAAACTGCTGTTTGACCCAGCAATCCCACTTCTGTGAATATATTCTAAGAATTCTGAAACACTAACCAGAAATAATATATGCTACCTGTTGAATTTTGTTCCTCGTGCATAGATGATATAATAATGTATTTTATCTAAAATAAATAAACAAAACCAAGGACGAAGACTATATAGAAGTTTAAGTAAGTTCTGAGATAAGGAAAAGTGTTGAGGACAGTTAAGAGTGTATGTGTTGATGTTCTTTAGCTAAATTGTCATTTCATTAGAATGGGTCCTTTTTTTCTAGACCTGGTTGTTAAAGTCATGGTTCAAGACTAGTGAATTCTAAACAGAAGGTAGAAAATAGGTAGCTAAAAAAATGAAGAAGAAAAAAGGAAATGAGCTGATTCATTTTAGCAACAGGAAAATTAATATCCCAACTGGGACTTTGCCCATTTCTACAGCCTCTGAGCAGCAGTATCAGTTGCTGTCAACACCATTTATGTGGAAAATTGCATTGACATAGTTTAATTGGTTCTGTAATATAATTGTAGCGCAATGAAGCAAAATAGCCTATTTAGGGTACTCGATACCATAATTATCCAGAAGTGCAGAGATAATGTAAAATCCAGGAATAGAATTTGAAAGCACATAGGATGGCATTTTAGATGTGAAGTGAGGCAGGGTGTGAGGAAAGGAAGTTTTTGATATTGTAACATTTAACATGATGATCTGCTTTTAGTAGTATTTTAAAATTGTGTTTTTTTTAAAGAAGCAAAGAATGATTTTGGAACCCTGCTTTTTCTTTCACCACCTTGGGCCTAGAAATGTTTAATTCTTTCATATTTAATGGGCAGCAACCCAGAGCATTTGAAACTGGACTTGGTCCTAGAAATGAACATTGGTGGATTGCTGTCCTAGCCATAGAGCTGTGTCTACTTCCCTGATGAAAATTGTATTTCCTTTTTATCAGGTAAGATCAAGATAATTAAAGCCCCATGGACAAGCTTATTTGTTTTTAAATAATTACAACCAATGATTGTATATTCACTAGAATGATGGTTTATTGTATTACTGACAAATAGAAACACATCTTCAAGTTATGTCATCTTCTTATTTACATCATCTTTTCACCCAGTATCTTGGCTCTTGATTCACTCTTTTATAACTTTACCCAATGTATTTCTAAACTGCTTCTGCTGTAGAGAGGTGATAAGTATATAATTAAAATGATTTTATTTCCTCACCAGGGAAATACAATCTGCCACATTTGTAATGCATGTTGCTTGCGCACACCAAGACTGTCAAACAGGCATAAAATTGTTTAAAGTATTACATGAGTCTCCCCTTTCCCTCCATTGACCTCTCCCCCGCCATCCCCTCCCCCAAGCACAAGCCCTCACCCCACTACCAGCTGTGTCCATTGGTTTTGCTCATATGTATACATACAAGTCCTTTGGTTGATCTCTTACCTCCTCACCCTCCATCCTCCCTCATAGGTTGTACAGTCTGTTCGATGCTTCTGTGTCTCTTGTTCTATTTTTGTTCATCAGGAGACTCATGTAATACTTTAAACAATAAAGAATTTAAAAAAAGAAAAGAAAATATGGACATAAACCCCCCCAAAAAAAACCCAAACACACACACACACACACACACACACACACACACACACACACACACACAGTCATAAACATAGGATGCAGAGGGATAGGGATCACATAAATGTATACGCATATTTATTCTTCAGTAAAAAATACACATTCTATTTGTGTATATGTAGTTTTTATGTAACATTGTATAATCCTTTCTATTTGGTATTTTCATTTTAAATAAGTTATTAAAGTGGAAACTAAATAGATTATATTAATATACAAAAGTAAACATGGGTATTAGTGTTAGTATGCTTATATGTTCTTTTAAATATAAAACTTTATTGGCAAACTTTTTTGTCAAACATATGGGATAATATATTTATTTGAATTTAGAATTCAAAACAGATTATTAGAGAATCTGACTAGGGGCATGTTTATCTTTAGTTAAATTATCATATCAACTATTGTGGAAGGAAAGGTGAGCTATTAAATATGAGCACTGATGAAGATTACGGTTCACATTGATTGTCATGTTTTTTAGCTAACGCAATTGAGTGGGGATACAATCGTCCATTTAAAATATTTGGAATTGAAATATACAGCGGTTGCATTTCAGAAACCTGTCTCAATTCCACTTCTGTTACTGGTAGAGGTCAGTTTATCTGCTGACTGGTCCTTACTCTGCTTTAAATTATCCTCTGTGACTTCACTGCTCTTCTAATCACTAAAAGTTATGACTGAAGTAGATATAACCTTTGATTCTTCCCTGTGTCACAGGGCATTTAAAGAATTCCTTCAAAATCCACCAAAAAATCCTGCTGCTGTACAACTCTTTCCTACTTTTGTAAATGCTCGGATGCTAAATCCCAACCACTTGGAAACTGTGTAAACCTATTTTAACCTATTCTTGCATTCTTGTTTCTTTTGTAGAAATTTACTGTTTAAAGAAATTAATAATCAAATGTGGGAAAGGAAGTCACATTTACTGAAAGTTTTAGGCTTCTTCTTTCTTTAAATTTTTTTAGCAATCACTTTTTTGAATCTTTATTGGTCTTATCACCCAAGTGTTTGTTCCCAGGTATTACAGTTCAATTCTGCTGATTAAAACAAACAAAATTCAAAGCATTTTTGATTTTTCTTTTCAGTTTCTTATAATCTGCATATTTTCTCTTGTGTCTGGCATTTCTTTCTTTTCCTTACAGACCAGACTTTGAAAAATGTGAGTTCTGGTACAAATTCAGAACTACATAGATATGTGTATTTTTTTTCTGTAAAGTGAGAGTGTTTATCTCTAAGTTTCATTTTAGACTTTTCAGCATGTGATTTTGTAATATCACACTAAGCCCTCCCAGGGCCATAAAAGAATGAATCACAATTCAGTTTTTATTGGCACTTTTAATCTCAGTGCCAACAATTTTGCAAGGGTGTTTTCCTCTTCACACATTCTTCAGGACTTGAATATTAGGAGTTAGAGAAACATATATGTATCCATGAGTGGAAGAAATTTTATTTAGACTAAAAACTCCTAGTGCTTTTCTAAGGATCATTATTCTGGATACATAGATGAAAGAAGTTTAGCCATGTTCCTAATTTTACTTTATTTTTAGCTATTATAGATTGGAAAGATAGGTGATATTAGATAATTACAGCCTAATATTTCTTTTCTGTAACACCAGTCCTGATTCAGTGCAACAGCAGAAAGAGGCAAAACATGGAGAAGCAAGCAACCTAATCATCAGGAGGATTATACCTCCCTTGAAACACTAAAGAGCCTGCTGGAGGTAGGATAGCAAAGGAAAAACATGGACATAGTTTACAGCTCCTCTTGGATTGTAGGCAATATGTTTTATGTGTTAATTTTTATTATTTTGAAATTATTTCAGACAAACAAAAATGTGTCAAGAATACTCTAATGAACAAACTATGTATCCACAACTAGCTTTTCTAAAGGCAACATTACTCCCTCAGTAAAAATTCCTCATGTGCCTTTTGCTAATTGTAATCCCCTTACGTCCCTATAAAGTTATACACTCTCCTGAATTTGATATTTATCATTACCATGCGTTTCTTAATTTTTTGCATATGCGTCTTTCAATAAGTAGAGTTGTTTGCATGCTCTACATTTTACAAGACAGATATCACAATGTATTTATTTTTCACCCAATGTTGTGATTATGAGATTCAGTTTGTTTTTGAGTATTTTATTTTGAATCATGAACTGTTTTTAAATAATAAAACACTATTTTACATTACATATGCTATTGTTACTTTTATAAAAATTGTTTTAATTTACAGTTGGTTTCATATTTGTAAGTCACTTTCAAGGTGATGGGGCTTATAAATATCTTCTGAAATAAGTCATTCTGATGCAGGATCCATTTATTAATTTATTTCTTGGTAAAACAATATTTAAATGACTCCTAGGCAAGGATAGGGCCAGGTATTAATTCACAGGTGAGCAAAACAGACTTTGTCCCTTTCTTATGACCCCTCCAGCCTAATGTAAATACAAATTTTAAATAATTCCACATTTTGACAACATAGATGGACCTAGTGAGTTAAGTCATTCAGAGAGACAAATACCATATGATTTCACTCATATGAGGAATCTAAAGAACAATCTGAGTGAACCAACAAAACAGAAACCAACTCACAGATACAGAGAACAGACTGATTGCTGCCAGAGGGGAGGAGAGTTGGGGTTTGGTAGATATAAAATAGTCACTGGGATGTAAAGAACAGCATAAGGCATACACTCAATAACATTGTAATAACTGCCTGGTGTCAGATGGGTACTGGAACTATCAGGGGAGGAATTAGTGAAGCATATGATTGTCTAACCACTATGTTGTACAACTGAAACTAATACAAAATAATATTAAATGTAAACTGTAATTGAAAAAAAATAGGCTTTCCCATTCTTGTGTGAAAGAATGTTTTCCCTTACATACACCTATATCTAGGTGGACATGTAAGAAAATGCTTACTGTTTATGACTTCCAACCAGACATAATGTTAAACATACATGTAAAATGGAATTCTATGTTTGGCCTTTCTCATCATTTACTACTAGCTTAACTAAAATCTTGTATATATGGATAAAGGTTTCTATTTTACATCTTTACAGACCTAACACATTTAGAGAGAATAGCCATTAACTTTAAAGAAAGGAAGAAAACCTGGGCATTTTGTAAATTTTATATCTCCTCTCACCACAGAAACAACTTATGTTTGGGATTTATATTGCATTTGAATTTTGTCTTTAAATATCAAGTGCATGAGATTCAGAGCTTGGTTAAGCAAGACAATATGAATAATTTTTGAAGATATTCATTGTGGCTTACAGACTTTATGAGACATGTCAACACATTTCCTCATTCAACAGCAGTTTATGATATTTATGTCATTGTTATGTAAATTATGTGGTTGTTATAGATGCTGAACATTTGGTTCTTCCTGACTGGTGGCCAGTGGGGTCAGAACTATTCATTAATCCAAGTAAGTCCATACATGTGAACTTTTGCCTTTTTTTTTTTTAGTTTTTACAACCACAACATGTATAATAGTAATTAGTTTTTCCAGGATGTGCATTTCAAGATTAATGCCTCAGGACATGGAAGTTCTTTGATATTTGGCTAAGACCCAGTTGTGTAATCGCTTAGAAATGTAGTGCATCTTGCATTGGGATACTTTGGAAAGGAGTTACTGTACCTTGAAATGTAGATTTTCTTCAAAGAACTAGAAATCCAGTTTTGTCTCAAGCCTCAATTCAGATAAACTATGAAAAAAGAATTAGCAGTGGCCAGCTATATTTTGGTATTTTTCCATTTTTTCAAAAACCTTGTGAATGACAGTGTTTTGGTAAGAAAGTTTCTCTAACATATATGTTTGATAGATATGTGAATGTGAAATAATTACTTATTCACCACTCATTAAATGGTTTAGTTTTTTATATCTTAAAAAGATTTTGTTGTCCAACAAGACCTTAGTTGTTGTTCTATACCTATCACAATTAATGTTGTTCCCCAAGATTTAACTATTCCTCTTTTTTCTTCACTTTCTCTCAACCCAAATAGCTCTTAATTGTATTATGTCCACTTAACTTTACATTAATTAGAATATTTATTTTCTGATTCTCTTACATCATCATCATATTTAGTTCAGCAAACATTCTGTTTTTAAAGATGTTTTTATTAATTTTAGAGAAAGAGGAAGTGAGGGAGAGACAGAGAGAGAAAGATCAATCAATTGCCTCCTACATGCACCCTGACCAGGAATCCAGCTGGCAAACTTTCAATTCATGGGACACTGCTCAACCAGATGAGTCACACCAGCCAGGGCAAATATATTCTGTTTTCGATTCTGTGGGCTTCAGAAATGAAATTTTCTCTATGGTTCTTAATTTTGAAGCCTCTATTATCTTTTGACCACATTTTTTTTTCAATTCATTTCTCTTTTTTCCTCCTTTTCCTTCACAGCTTTATTTCCTACTAAAGCTACTTTTTTCTGAGATTTATCTATAGCAGCTACATAATAAATGTTGACTGACTCTATGATCATTAGTTTCCACTTGCTTTACTTTCACTTTTCTGTTTCAATAAATCAGTATGGAACAGATCAGGAAATTAAAATGATCATTATTGTTTTCTTGCTACACACATATTGTCTAAAAATGGGAAAAAATCTGTATTTACTCAACTATGAAGATTATTCTTAAACTAACAAAAGGTTTCCTGGAGAAAAATAATTTTGCTCATCTGTACACGTAGGTGACAGAGGCTCCATCCTCTACCAAAGGCAGATTGTGAGCTCCTAGTGGACAATGGTCATGCCTGACTCATCCTTGTGTTTCATTCCAGTTCCAAAGGTAGAGCCTCACACCAAGTAGACATCTTGGAAACTGGAGAAGTGAGTTGGTTAATCTATCCCAATCTGGGGTTTTATGATGCATTGCTGAACTATTTCTGCTAAATAAATAAACTAGATTGGCTTGACTATATTTCTCTCAAACAGTGGAGTTTCATACCCTTAACACAGCATGTGTCCTTGTCATAGTCAACTCAATGAGTGTTTCTGAAATTTTCACATGGTTTGTAGTACTGTGCAGTGAAGTAAAACTGTCATTAACTTAGAATTGATGCCCTGGATGCGATACCAGGAAAATGTGGGAAATGTCACTATAAACCAGACCAATTAGATCTGTCTTTGTCAATCTAAACATTACAATTGGAAATATTTGACTGCAGCTAAAGAATGAGAGTTAGAGTAAATGTACTAGCATGAATTTGATTTCTATTTTGGTGGTCATAAATTCTAATCAATGAAGACCATAAAACAGCTAGGAATAATTTTGATTTTAATTTGAAACCACCATATGACAAACTACACTGCCCGCTATTATAATGGAAATTTATTTAATATTTTCCCCAGAAACTTTTATTTATATAGGACATCTTCCAACCAGGGGAGAGTATTTAGATAGGTTTTATAGGAATATACATAGTAGCTATTGTTTAATCAGATGAATTCCTGGTTTTATTTTTCTTGTGAATTGTGGATGACAGCATCCAGAAATGTTAGTGTTAGGTTTCTCTGATTTTGAAATTTTCCAGAATACAAACTTCTCTAACTTATTGAGTTAAAGGAAGAAAATGCATGCTTTCATTCCCAGTGGACTTCAATGTGAATCCTAAACCAGGTTCAGTTGGGAATTCTCAAATGTCATTTTATAGATCGCTTTGTAGCTTTAAATAAAATGGTTGCATGTAGACCTACAAAGATTTCCTATAAATTAAATAATACTTCACGAGAAGATTAAAGTTATAGTGTTGATTATTTATTATTAATAATAATGTTTTGATATTAAATAATAACTAATCCAGTTTATAAATTCTATTTTAACCTGTATTTCCAATGTCAGTAGGTAATATTGGGTTACTTTTCTAACAATACTAGATGTCATAAAATGATTTTATTATAGCATTTTATCAGATCCAATTTGCAACCAGTATTGTGGATTCAGAAGGATGCAATACCAATGGTAGTCTATCTGAATATGTCCCCTCTCCTCCTCTGCACAATATTCCCATAGTATACAATGGGAAAGGTGCCCTGAGGCTGTGCAAGGAGAAAATATTTTAAAAGATTTTTTAACAAACATGCAATTTGCTGTGATGACCTTATAATACATTTTGAAATACACTTATTAGGTGAGCTTAAGCTGCAGCATTTTCTTCTAAATATACTATTTATTACAAAAAATAATGTAGATTTTGAAGAAATGACAACCTATCAGCTCTTCAAAGCCTGCTCTTAGAGCCACTTGATGAAAATGGGCACCTCTCACTGCCCACAAGTCTTCTTGTTCCTGTTTCTGATTAAACCGAAGGAAAGCACTCTCCCCAAATTTGACATCTCTGAGTAAGAAAATATTATTACTGGTATTCATGCAGTTGTATGTGAAAGAGTGAGAAAAATGAGAGAAAAAGGATGGAACTGAACCATGGTTTTTCCACCCATAGGTCTCCTGAGCCTGAGGTAGAGAGGAAAGGCGAAGGCATCGCAGAGGGGCAGGTGATTACCAGGTCTGGGGTAGATGGATATGCAGACAAGAAATGGTGAAACCCGGCTGGATCCCAACAGGGAAACAGAAGAGGAGAAAGAAGATGCTGGTGCTGATGCTGAAAAGAAAGGCAGAGAGCAAGGCTGCTGGAAAGAGAGAAAGAAACAGAGAAACAAACCACCAGCCTTTAAGAGTTCATAGTTGCCCATTCAGAAGAGAGGCCTGGAAGCAATTGATTCTCAGAAAGAAGACTGCGTATGAGTTTTAGTGAGTGGAGAAAATCACACCAAGTAGCTTTAGAAATCACATATTGGAAGGAATTTTACAATTTCCTGGGTAAATAGATATCTTGATTTACTTCCTACTTATGTCAATTAAAAGAAAATTGAGTTATATGTCCAATTTTTCTATACTTGAGAAAAACTGGATTCAGTTGCAACATAGCAAATGATGATACGTTGTTGAATTTACATGTGTCAAAGGTCTCTATGGTACAAGACCTGGCAGGATTAATCTCAGCTGTTAGCCATCAGGATATCAGGATATCTTGAGGAAGGAGGTGCTTGGTTACATGGGTTGTTCCACTTGTGACAATTCTTCCAATGTACACACATGTGCATTCTTTCTGTATGTGTTTTATATTTCCACTAGAGGCCCAGTGCATGAAATTTGTGCATGGGGGGAGGGGAGTCCCTCAGCCTGACCTGCACCCTCTCCAATCCAGGAGCCGTCAGGGGATGTCCTACTGATGGCTTAGGCCCACTCCCCATGGTTCTTTGCTCTCTGCAGGGGCTGGCTGCTTTGCCACCACTGCGGTGACGAAGCCCCCATGCCCTGCTGTCCGCTCTCAAAGGCAGGGCTGAAAGGACTGGGGGACTCCAGTGGTCCTGAGGAGACTGGGCGCCACCATCTTTGTGATGATGTGAGAGTCAATCTGCATATCTCCTCTTTATTAGATAGGATAAGATATTCTGAAGCAAACACACAACTCTAGGAAATCAGTATCTTGGAATCAATGACTTGGAAAAGTGATTTCAAAATGTTTAATAAAATACATGTAATAATATCATGGGATCCAGAAGTTACTCAAATCAAACACCTCTTGAAGAAGATTATGTTGTTTCTTCCTAGATTTCAATTGTACTAGGGAAACAACCTCATGAAAACAACTTGAAAAAAATTTAAGAAATGAGTTATGGTTCTCAATCAACCTAAATTTGACTTAATGTGCCCTGTATTGTTTTAGTAAAAGTGCTTTTGACAGACCTTTGAAAATCATCTTGACTGTATACACAGCTCAGACAAACTTTGGAACTGATTTATTACTTTGATAAACTAGTTGTCCTTCCTCAATTCTGAAGTTTCACAATGCTATTCCAGAAGGGAATTTAAACTAATTTCAGTTAAGTAGGCATTGATGTGCAAAACTTTTTATTTAGCCAGTAGTTATCTATCCTCTTTAGTAATACAGAGTATTGAGGGTTTGTTTCTCCTTTCCAAATAAATTGATGTAAGGAGACAATGAAAAGAGGACCTCAGTGTCACATTATTACTAGAGAATTGAACTTCTCTGTCACTTGTGTGAGTGGGGTTCATATGATATCGTTAGAAAATAAATTTTTTAAGATTCACATGGGAGAAGGAAATGTGGTAAAAGGATTTATTTGTGTGGAGTTACATTCCTGGGTTTGCAAAGTCCCATGCCCTTAACCCAGTCCTAGAAAAGGTGCAGCTAGGAGATCAGCAAATCCAAAAGCAAGGCCAGTGCCCAGGTATTGCAGTTGGGTTCAGTACATCCAGTCCAGATTCAGTCCAGATTCAGTCTATTAATCTTGAATGAGTCCCACATGGCTCTGAGCCACATAAGTTCAGGGAGTGCAGACCCTGCAACAGCAGAGCCAGGAGCCTGGCCTGCAAGACCAAATGCCAAAAGATAGGGAACTCCCGCTACTCAGAAGTTTAAATATTCATGTTTCAGACCCTGGCAGTGGACATGCCTCTTCTGGCCAATTTCCTGTTCCCAGGTGTGATTGACAGACAGGTAAGCACCTTCCAGGGTCACTCAGACCTTATTGGGCATGTAGCCAAACTTCCTTCGTCCAGTCCCTTCCCGCATTGATCAGTGTGGAACAGATGTGGGGGCTGTTAAGTTAGCAAAGCTGTATAAATATTATGTAGCATTCCCTTTATTCCTTTCCTGTTTAATAATAACCAGATTACTACAATGGTATCAACATTAGGTGATGCATAAGTATGTCTGTATTAGGGAGCAGGATGGGAATTTATTTTTTAAAATCCTTATTTATTGATTTTATTTTAGAGAGAGAATAAGAGGGGGGAGAGAGAGAAACATCAATGTGAGAGAGAAACATTGATTAGTGGCCTCCAAATGAACCCCAAATGGGGATTGAACCTGTGACCTGGGTTTGTGTCTTTATTGGGAATCAAATGTGTAACCTTTTGGTGGACGTGATGACACTCCAACCAACTGAGACACACTGGCCAGGGCAGGATGGGAATTTGGGGTGGGAAAAAAGGCTGCCATTCTTTCTTCCTCATATTGTGGCCTTTTGGTTACTCTATGCTTTAATTTGGTACGAAGACTGCAAACTTGTAGAAATTTGCAGCTGAGCAAGAATGATGGGACAATTCCCCTTTTACTAACAGATTTCAGTGCATGGGGGACTATGCATCCATCAGGTGGAGTCCTGACATTCAGTCTCCTTGTGAAACATAATGGTGTGGATTTCCTTTAAGTAATCCTGGATGGAGGGACGATGACAAGGGGCTGGGTAGGTGACACTTCTTTAACACTTCTTTATTAATCTCACAAAGAACAATACTTAATGATGTGCTATGAGGAAATGGAGTCAATAACCCAATGTGTTATAGTATGACCTTGCAGTGAAATCCTGAAAGCAAAAAAGAGAGCAAGGGACTTTTTAAGGACAAATATTTATAAATGTCATTTTGATAGTGAAAAGGTCAAAAATTTGTTTTGCATTTTACCAATTCTCAATGCTCACTTAATTCTTACCGTTTCTTTAATACTAATTTCAAAGTTTTCACTCAAATTTTCCCTGGGCTCAGTGATAAATTGGAACCAATGTGCAGTGTGTATTTTGAATTACATAAACTATATTGAAGATGGTTCCATTAATTTCTTAAACCCATGTCAGATAATGGAAAACAAACTTGCATCTCAGATCACCTTCTAAAAATGAGATTTTGAGTTATTGATTCCAGTAATTTAGAACAGGGTGGTGTTAGATTTTTTTCTGGGTTATTTCAGATTACTGTTGTGGTAGAATTGTGTCTG